GGCACAACCTAGTAGCCAGAATTCCACACCAGGAGCTCGCTCTGAAATACGGTCTCGTGGACCGGAAATTGCCGTATTACAAGTACTTGCCGGAAGCCGTGCTCGAAAATGACCGCGTCAGGCTCTACTGGGACCGGGCCATCATCACAGACAGGACTATTCTTGCGAATAAGCCTGATATTGTGCTGATGGACCGGGCACAGTCAAGGATATTTTTGGTCGACATTACCATTCCGTATGACGAGAACCTCGTGAAAGCCAAAACAGATAAGCGAACAAAGTATCTGGACCTGGCTCACGAGGTGACCGACATGTGGGGTGGTTGGCCGACCGCAATTATTCCTGTAGTCGTCTCTGCGAATGGGCTAATCCCAGTCAGCCTTTCGGGTTATCTGAGGCGGCTGGGACTCCGTGACGGACCGCTCCGGGCTCAAATGCAGAAGGCAGTGGTCCTCGATACCGCCCGCATCGTCCGTCGGTTTCTTCCCCTTTCCCCCTAACCCTCGGCCGTTTGGTCTCCCCTGCCGAGGGCTTCCATCTGGTTGGATCTTTATGTATTTGTGTATTTTTGTATTTATTTTATTTTATTGATATTTATGTATATTTATCTTTTCATTTTAATTTATAATTATATATTTATAGAAACCAACCAGATGAGAAAACTATACAGATACCCCAAAAATAATAATAATAATTCATTACTGACATTTTCATAGTTCACATACTTTTTACAAATATATACAATACATTATGAGTACCAATTTGAAATGGGTAGAAACCTGCTTCTCCTAGCTAGGTTTACTTAGTAACCTGTATTTAGGAGAACAGTCCCATCTCCCCCTGTTGATGAGGAATACATAGTTGTATTGTTTAAATTAATTTAATTTTTTGTATAAAGAAATCATAAAATTTTATAGACATAGTAAGTGATCTCTCTCTCTCTCGCTGTGTGTGTGTGTGTGTGTGTGTGTGTGTGTGTGTGTGTGCGCGCGTGTGCGTGTGCGTGCGCGTGCGCGTGTGCGTGCGCGTGCGCGTGCGCGTTGCGTGTCATGTTATGTTATGTTAAATTTGTTTTATAAAATACCTCCTTACTTTTTTATGTTTATGTCATGTTAAAAATTGAAATTTGCTATTTATTAACAATGATTTCAAATATCCCATTTCTGGGAAATCATTGGTCAAATGTTTTTAATTATTTTTCTTATAGTCTCCAACACATGAAAAGTTTTCTGAAAGTCGCAAAAGTGTTTTTCTTGAAACATTACAAATTTGATGTATTTGCTTGGTGTGGGGTTGTCTTACAAATGTCATTATTACAATTATTACATTATTTACATACCTGCATTAATTTTCATCTTTTTTATAACTCGTTAAATAAAAATATTTTAGTTTTCAATCTCTGAAAATTTGCTAACTGCCAAAATGTGAGCGGTAAAATACCTTCTATTTACTACCTCTTCGTTTGGAGTGGAGGTCATTTTTACCAGTAAATAATCCAGATTTTATAATATATTATTAGCATCTTGCTAACAATTTCTTCATTCAACTTCCATCTCTTTTTTTAACTTCCTGAAATCTCATTGTAATAGGTAAAACTTTGTTTCACAGCATATACGTTCCGAGTTATGTTTTAGACACTTTTTATAAAATCTTTGATTAAAGGAATTAAACAAAATCAAACAAAACTGACTAACAGAAGTTATTATAACAGCCCCGAATTAGCACACGTAGCATTGGCCGCTCCCCGAGCATAACACCTTGCACGGCGATAGATCTAATACAGGTTTTTCCATTGCTGCTTATAAAAGTCCATTGCTGAACATAGGCCTCCCCAATAGCCTCATAGGGGGGGGGGATTTTGCCATGTTGCCACGCTTGTTAAGTTGTAACAGTTATTATTCTAAGTAGACCATTTTAAATTTATTCATACTCGTGTAATTGAAGTGTTTGTCTGTACGTAAAATTGAAATAACGGACTTCTGTTAAACTCAGGGGGTTATTTGAATACTGAGTGCGCGAAAAGTGACGACTAAAGGCATGGCGGGTCGAATGATGAAGTAGACAGTATTAGTGTGGTTCGAAAGAAACCAAAACAAAATGGCGGACGTGGCACGTGGCGGACTTTGGACAATATACTTGCTATGAAGTATCTTTGCTCTCTTGGGGTAATTAAAAATGTTTTGAAAATAAAATCAAAACAAAGTTGTTAAAGACAATTATTTATTGAACATTAATTATTAATATGTAAAGACTTATTTGCACAAAGTCAAAGACAACCTAATACACGTTGGTTAAAATTCGTGCTTTACTCCTAATTTTAGGTATTTTATCAGGTTACACTTAGGTATATGTCAGCTTACTTATGCATCATCCAGTAGTTCATTTTCTCCCACATCACTATCTAAGAGCAATTATAAATGCTCCCATTTAGCAGTTTACTACGTCATGCGTATAAATCTTAATTCTTTTGAAATAAAATTTCCCCTTTCGATAAGTGTAAGTATCAAATAAAGAGAATTATTTTTTATTTTAAATTTCAAAAGCATTCTTGCTGTCTTTGTCCTATTAACTTAATTATTGCTTACTTTGGTGTTAATTGTAAATTGATCATAGACACCATTTAATTATGTTTGCTATAAATCTTTTATTATATATATTTTTAATTACTGCCATCGTAGCATTTTTGCAAAATCCATAACTAGTTGAAAGCTTAGTATGAACTTTATCTCCTTTATCATCAAACCAAAACATGTTCATCATATTTTCACTCTTAACATCCTCAGTCTTCAAAACCTATGACATTTGCATTGTAATGTAGTGAGGAGAACACTAGCATCTCATCAAGCATTAAGAAACACAAGCACTCTGTCATGCTCAAGTCTTTCATTTGCTTAAATATAAATAAGTTTATGCCTGGCTTAATTAGTATTTATTTAAGGACATTTTTAATGTCCGTCTTGAGTAAAGTGAACAATTTACCTAAGAATATATATCTTTTAAGGCTTTTTTTGTTTTTATCGACGTGGCCAAACAATTTGTCTTCGAAATTGTACCATCTTCCACGATATTCATATTATACTGTACTAACTGCACATTCAGGAATATGTGGGTGTGCATAGTCAATGATATCAGTTTTATTGAAATATTATTTCTTAGTATTATTTTTGTTGCTCTATGTGATTATATGGTACCTTCCACAATTTATTAGATTGATTATAGTTTCGCAAATGGTTTGTGAGGTTGTATTATGTATGAGTATGTTATAATACATATATAAAATGCTGATTTTGTAAAAAAAAAATATATTGATTTACACATTTACAATGGTATAGTGGGCATAAGAAAGTCACTTTTGTAAATTGTTTGTATTTTTAAAAGTATAGTTATTACACACATTTAAAAAAAAGTTTTGTTACCAAAATATGATAACGTTATCAAGTACATATTTTAAAGATTAATAATGCTGCTACAAAATGTATCTTTTTATATTAAGTTAAAGATGTACCACTATTAACAATTAATTGATACTAATTCTTGAAATTATGGAAAAGAAGCAAACCTTTGGAGAGGATTCAATTATCAATGTGCTCTTAAATGGGAAGTAGTTGAGTCTTGTGGATACCACAGTTTTTCTTAGTATTAGACATTGAAGCCGTATTTGTTTTATAAAAGAGAGCCGTACGTTCAATTTATATCTTAAATTGTAAAAGTCGCGTAGAGAAAAATTTAATGAAATAAATATATTAACTTTGGCATAGCAATAATGTATGTACAATAATGTATGTATTGTTGTACATATATTATATATATATATATATATATATATATATATATATATATAATGTATGTACATAAAAACATAAAAAGCTTTCATAAGAATAAAGATGTTTATACTTTAAAATCTAAGAACAAACATAAGCTTGTAACACCAGTTACTAGACTCCACTGAGTCAGTAGTGCTTTTATGGGGCAACATATACGCTTTTAAAACAAAATTTCAGAAAATGTACAAAATTTGTCAATAAATAAGTTGAAATGTTTTATTTAAGGAAAAATGTACAAAAAGTGTTATTATAATATCAAAAAATACATCAATAATAACCCCTGTGATTGAGGTGATCGCCACCATGCCTGTACTATTAAAATTTATTTAAAAAATGTATAAACAAAATTATTGTAAAGTGAAATATGTTTTAAAAAAACGTCCCGCTGGGTTTCTTGTTGGTTCTTCCCAGGACAGAGGTATATGTAGTAAATAAAACATGACTTTCAATAAGTATTGTGTAATAATCTATATTTAATAATAATAATTCTATTGTATTGTATTCTCTGTAACATAATATATTTCCTAACTTAACTAACCAGTTAAAAAGAATGTGTTTAAAGAAATCAATTGATATTGTGCAAATATTGTTAAATTTAACACATCTAATGTTATTAATTTAGGCAAGAAATTTTTAAACAATAAACATTTTAAATATATCCGGTTTTTATTTTATTAATAGGAACTAGCAATTAGCACAAGAAATATAAAGAACCATTAATTACATTGCAGCACTTGTGCAATGTAATTAATGGTTCTGAACATATAAAATTGTAAAGTGCAAATAAAGGGCGGGCCCAAAGCACTCTTAATTTTACGCCACCTGACGGTTGGGCACGGAACTTAACGTAAATAAAACTTGAGTTGCTCATCTATCTCTAGTATATAGGCAGTAATCTATGGAAAGTCCCCTCTGTTCCGTACCTACTCTTTGCTCTGTCTCCTAGAAAAAATTAAGTTTATTTACGTTTTCTAATTCCTATTTTACCACAGACTTTGAATAATCCGAAATATTTTACTTTCCTTTAAGTTCCTGTTATTTCTGGAGATAAAATTAATGTAATTATTATAATAAAAGCGCATGGTTTAACTTAGTGATTATATTCACTTGAGCACATGAGGAAAAATTGTCTGCTAAATAGTATATTTGTGCGAAAAAAGTTTCTACTTGCGCAATATGAGTATTGACATTGGAGGTGAGTAAAAGTTTTACCATACATGTTTGGGTATTTCTTTAGTAATCTGCCGCAAGAATTTATGGTCGCCGAGTGGGCGGGTAGATGGGGGTAGGGGTAGGAACCACCCCCTAAAAGAATTAAGTGCCGGAACCCCCCCCCCCCCCCTCTTTTATGAATTTTTTAGTAGTCTGCCGCATGAATATATGGTCGCCGAGTGGGGCGGGGGGCTGGGGTAGGAACCTCCCCTAAAAGGGGGAAGTGCCGGAAACCCCCCTTTTTTTTGTAAAATCATAACCTCACTTTTTTATACAGGAATATTGACGCAGTTATTTCTGCAATGGCTTCGGCACTGCGGGAAGTGCAGCCCCTTCGCCCTTGTGGAGCAAATCACAGGCACCCATGCTCGCCTCCATAGCTGCGGATTGTTGGTCGCCTTCGGCGACCAGCCTCAGCCGCTACGGCTCACTTAGGTGCCTGCGATTTACTACAGCGGGCGGGGGCTGCTCTCCATCCGTGCCTACGGCTTTACAAAAACACTCTAGGGGTAGGGCAGACAAGACTACGTGGAGTCAGGGTGTGCTAATTCGGTTTTCGGTAATCATAATTAATTCAAAAGGCATTTCTGAAATCCAAAAACAGTGTAAATGGTTTGAGCTTAACCCTGACAATCCTCCTAAATTGAAAACATAGTTAAAAAATCAAGTATCGGAAATCTACTTCATAATACGAGAACAAATTGACATATTACACTATTTTTGGTGAAATTTGTTTTTATCGTAATTAATTCAAAATGCATTTCCGACATCTAAAAACAGTGTAATAGGTTTAAGATTAACCCTAACAAGCCTCTTAGACTAAAAACATTATCAAAATCAAGTACCGGTTGTCTAGCCAACCTGATATAACCTCAAAACTTTAACTACTGATATCTCGAAAAATAAAGATTTCCTAAAAATAAAGAATTCATAAAAAGCAGCTAAATGCTAATCAATAGCATTATTCCCTGTCAACTAAAGCTAAAATAATCACTTAAATTGTGCAGCAGATTACTAAAGCCGACCCCATGTTTGTCCTTTTTGTTTAAATGTTTATTATATTACTAAACTAAAATAAAATATATTGTTTTAGGAATGAGAATAAGATACAAAGATAAGGATGACACGTTTTTAGAGACACACTTAGTGTCTAAAGAACCTTTCGGTCAATTCAAGGCATGGTTTGAAGAAGCTTGCAGTAAAAAAGAAATCTTAGAACCCAATGCTATGTGCTTAGCCACTGTTTCAAAGTATGTTTCTAATTTATATTGATTACAGGAAATAACACGATTCTAGAGGCATGAGTGAAAGGAGTGGTTGTGGGCTTGTGGGGATTCTAGGAATTGGTATGCATGTATGTGTACACCTGCACACAATAACATAGCTTGCCTAAAGCACACAACACACACATAAGTTAACCTCATTTTAGAATCAGTGCTGGTACCTACATAGATAATCTGTACTATAATGTTTTAATTACATATTAGCTATACTATAAAATATTTTTCTTTAATGCATTTGATATTTTAACAACAGGGAAGGGTATCCTTCAGCAAGATTTGTTTTATGTAAAGGCTATGGTAAAGATGGATACAAATTCTTCACAAACTATGAAAGTAGGAAGGCTAAGGAGATGGTAAGTAAATATTGTATAAGTACATGTATTTTATTGAAACTTATAATAATTGCATAAATTAAACATATATTATTTTAGGCTGAAAATCAAAATGTGGCTGCCACATTCTATTGGGAGATTTTGAATAGATCAGTGAGAATTGAAGGTTATGTGGAAAAACTTTCTGATGAGGAATCTACTACATATTTCCATTCACGTCCAGTGCCTAGTCAAATTGCAGCATGTGCTAGTTACCAAAGTACACCAATTGAATCTAGAGATATTCTTTGTGACCGTGAAGGTAAATTAGAAGCTGAATATATGATACCCCATAAGGAAGTTCCTAGACCAAGTTATTGGTAATTGTTTTACTACTTTATCATATTCTTAATACATTGACATTTTCAAACTATTATGATACCTATATCCTCAGTTAACAAATATTTTTTAGAGCTTATTCTACAATACATATCACAAATAATTATTTGATCATTTATTTCATATTTATTATTTGGTTAACTATGAGTCATCATCATCACCTCAGGTCCACTGCTGGACATCCCTCATATAATAAAAAAGGCCTTCTTATGACACCATAAAGTACAGTCCTGATCCACCTGCATGTTATACAACATTGTTGTCACTCTATCCAGAAGTCAGCTATCCTTCATTCTGTTTGCTGGTGTGAGGCTGCTACTTTATAACCTTCTTCCCCATCTCTTGTCAGTTTGTCAAGCTATATGGATATGAATTAAATGCATTATATATAATAACTATAAAATTTTTATGATTTTTAGGGGAGGTTATATTATTCGTCCTAGAGCTGTTGAGTTTTGGCAAGGACAAAAAAGATCGCCTGCATGATAGAATTAAATTTAGGAAACCATTAACTGAAGAAGTACCAGATGGGAAACTTCTCCATAAGGGAGAAGATGGTTGGGTGTATGAAAGATTATCACCTTAAAAAACCAATTTGGGATATCAGTATTATTTATTTGTATATATTTGTTAAATTTTAAAATAATTCATGGGTTTAGAAAAAAATGATCACAAATAAGCCTTTCATATTTATTCTACTTATTAAAAAATTATACGGACAAATAAATAATTAAATTACAGAGTGATGGATTGTTAAATAAATTGCATATGTATTACATAATTATTCTTTTTATTTTTAAGATTTCTCTCTGTACACCACCTGAACTTTTCCATACAACTTCACTATTTAATAAACCAGTCCTTTCCACATGTGCTTCAAATTGCCTCATTCCACCACCAACACCAAAATAACATGTTTTAGCTGCTACATAAATAATTCCTTGCTTACTTAACCTTTTTAAAAATAATGAAACAAGTTTGTCATAGTTTTTCTCATTGTAAATAGTTTCTGATGAAACAATAATGTCATACACTTTACAGTCATCCAGTTTCTCATTAAAAGATTCCCAATCTCCTGAATAAAATTTACATTTTTTTATTTCATTTTCTCTTAACTCTTCTTCAATATTAAGAAGTACACTAGGTATTGTTGCACACTCAATTATTTCCTTATTCTGTAATTTAAAATATATCACTGTAAATGTTATAAAAATAGGGCTTGTGATTTGGATGAAAATGTCTACCTATATCAGCTTTATTGTTATATATAGGAATAAAGTAGCTGAAATATTATTATGGAACCAGAAAGAGTACAGAATATGTATAGTTTGACTGCAGCTGTGTAATATGGTAAGTGAAAAGAACCGGATACAATTTTTATTGGTATTGAAACATTCCATTTTAGTTCTCAGGTGTAACCCTCTCGAAACATGGTAAGGAAATATATGTTCTATATGGTAAGGAAATATAATAATATGTAATAATATGTTCTTGAATGGAATGGTAACCTCACAACCTTTGAACTGATGAAATATACAGAAAGTTGACGAAAGCAGGTAAATAAAAATAACTTTGTTCTAATTTACAGTGTAGTGTTCAACATAATTAAAGATTGGTTGCGCTCTTACTCCACAAAGATAATGACATTTACAAGTGGGTCTCAGTGATAGAATATGAAAGCCCATTACTATACTACGTAATTAAATCAGTTAGAATTGCTCAAATCACAAGTGATGTTTAGCGATTGTTTATCTAGCAGTATTTGCTTGGGTCTATAATATCTTAATCTTTTGAAACCAAATGAGCAATACCATTGGTGCAGAGGCTCAGAGTGATTTCTGAACAAAACCTTTTTGAAGCTGTCGGGCAAGAATAATGTGATACACCACAAACCCTTTCAGCCAGTAGAGAGCCAGTGATGGAGGCAATACCTGCAAACTGACTCTCCACAACTTCAGTTCAAGGGTCCTCGGTGTGGTTTACAAGCTCTGAATAAAGGCTAAAGTTTAGGCTTGATGTGGTGTAGGGCTGTACCATATACCATTGGTTGCTCCAAAGATTTGTAGATCATCTTCTGGCTACTCAACCATGTGTACCTTGTTAACTCTTATAAAGTAAGGAATCGACATATATGCAATAAATGAAACCACAAGTAATACCAGTCCATAGAAGTGTAGTAAAATTAAATATTAATTTAAAAACCGTAAATAAAAAAAATTGAAATTTTCAAACAAAATAAATATCTACATAAATTCAGTAAAAATAAGCACTCTGTTTAGAAAATCTACCTTGACCGCTTGAAAGAGTGGCAACATTGCACGCGGTCGGCATGGCGGCCGGCAGCGGCCTAAACTTTTCACTAAACTGTTTATTTTTACCGCCACTTTTTTATTTCGCGATAACGGAACTGAACGAAATAAATATTATTGCACATTAGTTAAATTTTTAAATTTTCATAATGTTCGCCATGTTCCAAGCCTGCTAAACAAATTTCGTTCAGGATCCAGAGCCAGGGCTGTTAATTTGTCAAAGGAAGCGACAATATGATTTCGCAGTTCATCTTCAGTTTCGGAGATCTTTGAGCACACTTCATACTATTTTAATATTATAAATGCGAAAGTGTGTTTTTTTGTTTGTCCTTCTTTCATGTCGCAACAGAGCGTCGGCATGGGACGAATTTTGGTATGGGGACAGTAGTTCGGACATGTAGTTCGGTAGAGTGACATAGGCTACTTTTTTCCGCGGAAAAACATCTCATTCCCGTGGGAAAATCGAATATGTTGCACAAGTTTGTCCTTCTTTCACGTAGCAACAGAGCGTCGGCATGGCATGATTTTCTGTATGGGGATAGTTCGGTGGCTGTAGAGTGACATAGGCTACTTTTTTCAGCGGAAAAACATATAATTCCCGTGGGAAAATCGAATATGTTGCAAAATTAAATTCAGCTAGGTGGCGCCACCGTGATTCTACAAGACGGACGACGGTACGATGGACGAACACAGAAGGTCAGAATATCTGGATTATTATGTCTTTTTACCAAAATTAAGATAAAAAATGTATGGATCTGTATTTTTCCACGCAGGACCGGGAAGAGAGCGATAAAAAACATAAAATTCACCAGCTGATTTTCTTCAAACGTTTTGGTGCATTGTAATTCACAGAATAGGCGATAACCTCGCAGACGATATTAAGTATCCGTTGATGCTCTGCCTACCCCGCAAGGGTTACAGGCGTGATTATAAGTATGGATCAGAAATACTATCACCACCTGTCACGCTTTCACCCTTAAGAGTTTTTATTAACTAACGTATACACATAGTTTAAATTGATTCCGCTAGATGTCGTTACTAGGTTTTTAAAACGCGGTAACAAAATGTTTCCTGACATGTACTTAACTCCCGCCGTTGAGCCGCGCGTCAACTTATAGTGCATACGGTACCTATACGCTTAAATTGTTTCTATTTCGTAGTTTATTCGACTACCTGCTTTCGATTTCGGTTGTTTGTTATTTGCTTTGTGATTTGGTTAAGGTTGAATGGATTTATATTGGCTTTCATTTTCGGATTTGTGTATTTTCTTGGATCGGTTTTGTTGATTTGGTTGGTATTCCTTTATACATACCGTGAAACCTTACAACTTTGCCCTTGGGGGACAACTTTGCCCAAACACGAAAATTAACTAAAACTACCGATAGAAATTTAATTTTAACACGAGGCAACTTTGTATGGCACCTAGAGTAAACTAGAACATATGTTTCGCAACACTGACTACTACAACCGCAGCTAACTACATTCAGTCATCTGTCAGCAACCTTCAAAGTGACAGTGTCGAAGGTGGTGCAAAAACATTGTTGCAGTTTTGCATCCCGCATTGCCACGAAACGCTGCGCAGGTAAGATTCATTATTATTTACGTTTAGGGCATTAATTGTTGCTGCTTTTAATCATGGTCGTTTTCTTACAACTGTCTTAGTTAGCGAGAAAATTGTGTGGGCAATGTTGTAAGCAATTATATAGACTGAGGTCGACAACATTGCCCAGCTCAAAAATGTTAATAGGGTTGACACTATTGAAAAAAAAGGAAACATGTACCTAGGCATAATAAATAAAAACCATATATAATAAATTGAAAATATATAGGTATACTTAATAAAATAAATAAATGTATATAGTACATCAAAAAAAAAAAACAATATAATACTAAACTATAATACTACCTATATAATATAACTACCATTCACTGAGAACTAAACTACTTTTATATATATTTTAAATATAATAAATAGGTATATATATTTGTCGGGATTTTTTGTCAGAAACCGCTAGATTCCCAAAAGAGAGAGCTTAAATATTCTCAGTTTCAGGCTAAAGTTTTTTAATAAGATTTATGCGTCATTTCGTTTGCAAAAAAAATTTTAAGTCTAAAAGAGAATTACTATTTTAGACGTTAAAGATCGCAGACAAAAATGAACGACAAAATGGATTGGTACGCATAATAGGTGAACCACGTACATCAGTGGTAACAAAATCGGTATAAGCTGGCCTCGTATTATATTAAATAAGTATCGTCGGCGTCTACTTTTCCTTACCTCAACTATCGGGGTTAATTTCTGAGATAATTTTCTAAAAGTACTTACCTAGTACTATTCTATTTATTTGCAGGATGGTGAAACCTAAAAAGCAAAGCCGAAGACGCCTCGGTGCCAGGTATTACAAAAATTATACTGATGAGATGTTAGATCTCGCAGCTTGGTATACCGAGACGGACCCTTCTGTAGAAAGTTCAAGAGCTGCACCAAAAAAATAGAAGCTCCAACGCGACTTACTGAGGAAGAAGAGAAAAATATAGTAAAAGTGGCAGTTGCAACTGGCGATTTTGCTTGTCCATTATCAAAACTTGACTTGCGAATAATCATATATGAATATTTTAAAAAAATGGGTGTGAGGCAATTTTTCATGGAAATCAACCAGAAGAACAATGGATTTCGAGTTTTCTTAAAGCGATATGCTTCAGAACTAACAGTAGGATTTTGCTGAAAAAAGTTTTGAAGAATTTTTAGATTATTTCAAAAATTTTGAAGAAAGTATGACAGACGTTCCCCTGTCAAACATATTAAACTTAGATGAAACAAATTTAAGTGATGATCCTGGATCATCGAAATGCATTTTTCGTAGAGGGGTACCCTGAAAGGGTATTAAATTCAACGAAAGGAGCCATTTCATTGATGTTTTCGGCAAGCGTAGACGGAACGAACCTACCACCATATGTTGTGTATAAATCAGAAAATCTTTATTCAGAATGGATAAGAGGCGGTCCACGAGGCGCAAGATATAACCGCACTAAATCTGGGTGGTTCGATTTGTCCACTTTTGAAGACTACTTCAAGACAATAGTTTTAAAATGGGCGGAAGGTTTGCCGGGAAAAAGGTGGTCATATGTGATAACCTGTCAAATCATCTAAATGTGGACATTATTAAACTTTGCGAAGAACATAACATATCTTTTGTTTTCATTCCTGCAAACTCCACGCATCTTACTCAGCCCTTAGACGTTGCTTTCTTTGCTCCGCTTAAGAAAACTTGGCGGAAAATTTTGCTGCAGTACAAAATGGAAAATCCCAATCAAACATCTTTAAACAAAAATCACTTCCCGAACTTGTTGACGTCTTTGATTAACGCAAAAGACTTTACCAGAACCAAAAGTGGATTCAGAGCTGCCGGAATTTGTCCTTTAAATCCACGTGAAGTGCTCAAACGGCTGCCGGAATATGCTGAAGAACTTGGAAATTACACAGTTGATAGCGTCTTATTAAATTACTTGCAAAAGTGCAGACAACCGAAACCAATAAACGTAAAACGCAATAAAGTTTCAGTAGATCCTGGAAAGTCTGTTTCAATAGGCGATTTCGATTTGTTTAGTTGTTCAAATCAAGAAGTTACAGAATCTCAGAAATCTAAAAAAAACAATGGAGTTGCATCAAAGAAATCAAAAACGACAAAAAAAGACTTCTATTACATATCAAGGTGATCCAAAAAATAATGATCCCGTATTTGACCTTTTCTTAGACAATACAGCTATTGGACAGCCAATAAACCAAGAAGAAGATATTTTGAATGATAGCAATATACTTTTAAACCTGTCATGTAACTTTGAGAATATTGATAAACTTGAGGTATCGGACACCAAAAAGGGTGAAACTGTAACAAAGTGTATCTTATATGAAAAAACTGTGATAGTAGACACTAATAACTTTGATGAAATTAATAAAATTAATGATGGACTAGTAAACAATGAAAACGAAGTCGAAACAAGTTGCACTTTGGATAAAAATGGTAAGATAATAGCCACCAATGACAGTGACGATATATTCAATGATAACGTCGATAAATTTACTGTCGAGCCTGAAGACCAAGAGCAAGAGAATGTATCAAGATACATTCTAAATGAGAAAAACTGGAGTTTTTCAATATACAATTTCTCGAGTGGAGCAAGTTATAAACAACATACCAGTGTTACGAGATAAAATAAAGTTAACCTCATCTAAAGGCATGTATATTGAAACTGTGACAGGACCTAAAAACAAGAACATTTAAAAACGACGGCAAGATGGCATCTGACAACATTTACCCTAACATTGTAAATATTTTACCACGTTGTAGCACATCTGAGGATAGTAGCACACAACAAATTATAGACTTAAATGAGAAGAGAGAAGAATTAAATGCAAACAACTTAAATATAAAAAAGTACAAAAATACTAAATACAACGAAAAGTTACAAGACTCAAAACAAAATATTTTAACCGAAATAAATACTTCTACTAATGAAACTAAAGTTAATTTGGAGACTGACAAAAATACTGGCAAAGAAAACAAAACTTTTAGACATACTCATTTAAATAACGAAATAAGCAAATGTGCAGATAGGAAAGTAAACAGCAATCGAAAGTCCGAAAAAAAAAACTAATAAACCAAAGAAAAAAACAAAAATCAACAAATCAACCATTGAACGAATGATAAAACCAGCCTGGAAAACATATAAGAGAAATATAAGTGAAACAAGTAATAGTGATATCAACATTAGTATTCACATTAAATCAGATATCTGTGACATAGAATCTGATAAGCCCGACAAAGACATTCAAAGTTTAAATACAAAAAAGCCTAAAACACAGTCAATGAAAGATAATAAAACAAAAATAGCAGCGGAAACAGAAAAACCTTCATCGAGCTACGACGACCATTTAAGTGAAACTTGTTCTAAGGTCAATTATGCTGTTGGGGATATTATATTAATCAGATACTTTTTTAAGAAAAAAGTTGATTATTCTGTCGGTGAAATCATAGCAAAAGTAGGAAATGGTAAAGTAAATGTATAATTTTTCAGACGAACAGGTAGAAACGACAATACTAAGTTTATAAAAACCAAAAAACAAGAAGTAGAAATAATTCAGTGTAAGAATATTGTCAAAACCGTGAACTTACTTACAATTAATACCAATGAAACAGAGTTTGTTCTAGATGATGATGATGACTACTTATATTTTGATTATTAGATATCACTTAATTTATCACAATTTAATGTAGGTAGGTGAAAGTAAAAGGTTGAAACCTTATTTTTAAATATTTTATCACGTACACCTAAAATTTATTTACAATAGGTACAACAATAATGATTTCTTATATTTACGCGAACACTACACATTGAAATAATACTAGTTTTTACGGAATTTATCGCGTATATTTAACTTTTTAAATACCCGACGTTTCGAGAGCTTTACAGCACCCATGCTCACGGGAAGGACTGAGATGTTCAACGTCCAGCTGTCATAGTTAACCGCGGTTACCATAGATTAAAATTTAACTTTTGTTCCAATCTACACAGTATGAACTTATGGTATCATGAAGTCTTGCAGTTGTATGCTTGTGTTGGGATTTAATTTTATTTATTATAGGATCCCAAGCAGATGGTAGCACCCAGCCATCTTCTCTATTGAAATTAGGATGTTTTTTGATTTCAATAGCCTCGCGAATCATCCTTGGAAGGAATCGGTGTTCTTTAGCGAGGATTTGTGGTCTATCAAATCTGATGTAGTGACGGGGGCGATCCTGTACATGTTCACAGACTGCAGACTTCCCGGAGCGTCGATTCTTCACATCAGCTATATGTTCTTTGACGCGGGTTTTAATTGATCTTTTAGTTTGTCCTATGTAGGAGAGACCACATTCACAATCAAGCTTGTACACTCCTGCATCTTGCAGAGGGACGTTACACTTGACTGATGGTAAAAACTGACCAATCTTCTTCGGCGGCTTGAAGTATGTTTTGATGGAAGCGCGCTTCAAGATGTAGCCAATCTTGTCAGTAAATCCTCTAACATATGGCAGTACAGCAGGTACACGCTCGACTGTGGCCGGCTTCACTCGTTCACTGTGACGTAGGCGCGGGACTCGAAGCTTGTTGTCATGCAAAACTTGCTTGACATGTTGGAGCTCGGCAGCCAGGTGTTTACTGTCACAGATCCCTCGTGCTCTCTGAAACAAAGATTTACCCACGGTAGCTAACTGTGAAGGATGGTGGTGAGAATCACCGTTTAAATATCTATCTGTATGGGTCTTTTTTCTATACACAGTATGGCTCAAGGTGTTATCAGGATTCCGAATTACTAACACATCTAGAAAAGCTAAGGAATTGTTTGCCTCTAACTCCATTGTGAACTGAAGTTTAGAATTTATAGAGTTAAGATGATCTAAAAATGCAGTTACTTTATCTAAAGGTAGAATTGTGAAAGTGTCGTCTACGTACCGCTTGTAGAATCTTGGATTTATGGGAGAAGTAAGCAGGGCTTTCTCCTTAAAGTCTTCCATGAATATGTCGGCGACAATGGGAGATACAGGTGAGCCCATCGCCACACCATCTACTTGCTTGTAGAACTCCTCCTTCCACAATAGGTAGCCAGATGTAAGGCAGTGTCTGAGTAATACTGCATATTCTACGGGCATGTTGTTTTCTTCCAGCCTTCTAGTTACAGTTGAGATGCAGTCTTCAACAGGTAAGCATGTAAACAATGACTGCACATCAAAACTGACCATAGTTTCATTGTCTGCCAGACGTAGGTCTTTAATCTCGCTGACAAAATGGTAGGAATTCTTTATGTGTGCTCTTGTATGTCCCCTGAGCGGTGAGAGTATTTTCGCTAAGTGTTGAGCCAATCTGTAAGTTGGTGAATCGATTTGGCTCACTATGAGGCGTAATGGAGCATTGCGCTTGTGTATTTTTGGTAACCCATACAACTTTGGTGATTTGGCGCACGAAAGTATTATCCATTTTACGTCCAGATTTAATTTTTCGGAGTGTTTCTTTATGAGGTCACTAGTTGTTTTTAGTGTGCTATTTGTTGGGTCGTTTTTAACCTTTTTTATAAGTACTTACATCCGACAAAAGTTCTTGTATTTTAGAATTATAATCTGACGTATCCATGACTACCGTGGCGTTTCCCTTATCTGCGCGAAGAATCATAAGTTCTGGTTTATTGCGTAGGTTCTTTAACGCTATAAATTCGTCTCTGGGAAGATTCGGTTTAGGCACTGAACATCGACGTAACATAGACGAAATGTCTTGACGTATCGCCTCCAAATCTTCTTTCCGCACATTGTTTTTAACTAAACAGTCCTCGACACTGCAGATAATTTCTTCGTATGGTAATCTGCGTGGAGTTATTGCATAATTGAGTCCTTTGGATAAAAAAAATTTGGGTATTTAAAAAGTTAAATATACGCGATAAATTCCGTAAAAACTAGTATTATTTCAAGGTACAACAATGTTGATTTCGAATATGATTTATTTTTAATTATATGCAAATGTGTATTTAGAGGATGCTCGATTTAGCATTATAATGTCAACATTGTAGATTTATACTGTTCTGGAAAACTCTTATGATTTCAAGAAGACTGAGTATTATATTAATCTGTGATTGTAGTGCCATAGTTCTAGTGCTGGAACTAAGTTCATTAGTTTATTTATTTTTTAAACTTCTCATCATAAAAATCGAAACACCCCACGAGTTTATGCTTTGAAAAGATTATCTGAAAATTTTGTATATTTAGGAATAAATAATAAATAAGTAAAAATATTTTTTAAATAAGCAGAATGAGAACATTTATTTTTATATAAAAAAATGATATTATACGTTAAAACTAATTGTTTTTGATCATCTTTAAAAACATAAACTCGTGAGGTGTATCGATTTTTCTGATGAGAAGTGTATATACTTATACCTATAATTATTAGCTAGAATCTTAATCAAAGACTGTTAGTAAGTAGTTTTTTTTTTTAAATTTGTCAATTTCAGAAGGTAATTCTTGAACTAAGCACTATAAGGATAATGTTGTAGGCTGTTATATGTTAATTTTGGTATTTTTTGTTCTAGAAGAGATATCTTGTTAATTTTTTTTTGTAGGAGGAGCGATAATCTGCCTTGGGTGCGTGAGATAAAAATTTCTGCGCTGCTTACTTTTTTTAAAACTAATACTCACGCAGGTAACTAACAGGCACGCTTACGTTAGCAGAGATCTTTTTATTTTTTATTAATATTTAATAGGTACGTTACCTACCAACTACCTATAAACATTGATTTTCTTGATTTTTGTTATTGTTTAATTCGTTGTTGTTTTTAATTTTAAAAATAAAAAAATACAATGCCTCAAAATCAATTTATTATTTTCCTTTCATCTGAGGCACAGCCCTAGCACCTCAAATCTCTTAGTATGAAAGTGTGACTAAATATGGTGATAACATTGCCCACCGCCATTAAAACTTAAAATGGACTTCTATTTATTTGAAAATGTATTGGTATTCAATATTGTCGATTTGCTAACAATATATCTTAAAATCAAAGTCATAGAGCTTATACTTGCTGTGAAATTTAGGTTGAGCAAAGATGTAAGAAAGTGGAGATAACTTTGCCCGCGTCTGTTTTTGTTTTTTTCTCATCATCTGTTGGGAATTAATTCACCTGGTTTTGACAGTTTATTTGTTGTATATAGTGTCGTTTAAAGCTTTAGCAACCATCAAAATAAAGTGGATATTTTTTTGAAAAAAGTAATAAAAACCGAAATATGTGGGCAAAGATGTAAGGTTTCACCGTATTTAGAATCTGGCTTTGATTTTGGATTTTATTTATTTAGAATCGTGAATTGGTTTTCGTTGTTTTAGGTTTTTAACAATATTTCAAAGGAATATTAATAGTATAAATAGTGTATACGGTACCTATACACTTACTTCTTCTTTCGTTGGTTATATTTATATTATATTATTATTATATATCCCCCTTTATATTATTACAAGCGAAAAGATTAGCTCGATTGCTAGAATCTTTAGAAGATGCTGAACTGAGAAGGCAAGAACAAGCAGAGCGTCAGGCTGCTTTTAGAGCATCTGAGACACCTTCTCAACGTCAGCAAAGGCGTCTTGAACAGACAGAGCGTCAGGCTGCTTTAAGAGCTTCCGAAACACCTTCTCAAAGTCAGGAAAGGCGTCTTGAACAGGCAGAGTGTCAAGCTACTTTAAGAGCTTCTGAAACATCTCAAAGTCAGCGAAGGCGTCTTGAACAGGCAGAGCGTCAAGCTACTTTAAGAGCTACTGAAGCACCTGATCAAATTCAGCAAAGGCGTCTTGAACAGGCAGAGCGTCAATCTACTTTAAGAGCTACTGAAACACCTGCTCAAAGTCAACAAAGGCTATTCGAACAAGCGGAACGTCAGGCCTCCTTAAGAGCCGCGGAAACACCTGATGAAACTCAACACAGACTCATTGAGCAAGCTGAACGCCAATCTACTATAAGGGCATCTGAAACACCAGAACAGACACAGGCGCGAAGAGATGCAAATGCACAGCTCCAAGCTGAACGTCGACAAAATGTTCAAAGAAACAATTGGTCGGTTTTTAATGACGCTGCATTCAATTATGATCCGTTGATTGATTATAAAAATCACAGGTTAGTTGTTATCGGACTGATGGACAAGGTGTGTCGACTTTGCAGCGCTTTAAAATGGAAAGATGAGACCGCAGGCATGTGCTGTTCCAATGGCAAAGTGTCTCTTCCGTTACTTGGGGAACCAGAAGAACCTTTGAAAACTCTCTTTTTGTATGATGCTAATGAGTCACGGCGATTTTTAAACAGGATCCGGAAATATAACTCACGCTTTCAAATGACGTCCTTCGGAGTTGACCGGGAAATAATAATGCCGGGATTTTCGCCTACATTTACGGTACAAAGGGCAAATTTATCATAGAATAGGTTCACTTTTTTCCAGCTGAAAACGAACAGCATAAATTTTTACAAGTATATTTTATGGGTGACGAAGAAATTGAGGTAGA